GGTGCTGACTCTGGGAATGGGGGAGGCAGGCAGGGGTGCTGGCCTGGAGGGCGGGGTAGCCCTGGGGGTGCGGACCTGGGAATCGGGAGGAGGGCGGCAGGTCTATGGGGCACTGACTCTGGAGATGGAGGGGCAAGTCTAGGGGGTGCTGACTTGGGGGGGCAGGCTGGGGACCCCAGGAGTTGAGCAAGCTGTGACCTGGCCCGGGAGGGGCAAGTCTAGGGGGTGCTGACTTGGGGGGGCAGGCTGGGGACCCCAGGAGTTGAGCAAGCTGGCAGCTGGCCCGGGTGGTCTGCAGGGATTCCCCCCCACCCCCCGCACACTTTGCAGCCGAGATGCCTTTGCGCCACCTGGTGCTAACGCACAGAACTGCAGGTGCCCGCGGGCCGCAAGGGGGGGGAGGGAGGCAGGCTGAGCAGCCTCTTTAGGGGAGGGGGCCGGTGGTCTGCCTGATGCTCCGCTCTGTCCTGGCGCTTGTGGTGGGCACGGGCAGGAGCTGCGTGACATGCAGGAGACTGCCCAGAGCCAGCAAGTGCAAGTGGAGATGGAGCAGGTCAAGCCGGACCTGACGGCGGCACTGCGTGAGATCCGCACCCAGTACGAGAGCATCGCGGTGAAGAACCTGCAGGAGGCCGAGGAGTGGTACAAGTCCAAGGTCAGCACCCTGGAAGCTGCCCCAGGCCGAGGCCTGTGCCAGGGTAGCGGGTACAAGGCCCTGACAGCTCCTGACCCCTGCCCTGATGGTGCCATCCCCACCCCTCAGTTCGCTGACCTGTCAGACGCAGCCAACCGGAACCACGAGGCGCTGCGCATGGCCAAGCAGGAGATGAACGAGTCCCGGAGGCAGATCCAGAGCCTGACCTGCGAGGTGGACGGCCTCAAAGGAACCGTGAGTCCCTGGGGTGCATTGCACTCCATAACAGGGTGCCCGGGCACTAGGACAGCACCCCCTGCCGCCTGCCTTGTGCAGCATCCCGGGGGGGTGCTCAGTCTGGAGCCAGTCATCCTGGGCCTCAGGGACTGTGAGCTCACCTCCCCCCACCTCTTGCACCCCCCAGAACGAAGCGCTGCTGCGGCAGATGCGGGAGCTCGAGGAGCAGTGTGGGGCGGAGATCAGCAGCTACCAGGACACGGTGAGGCGGCTGGAGCAGGAGATCCAGCACATGAAGGAGGAGATGGCGCGGCACCTGCGTGAGTACCAGGACCTGCTCAATGTCAAGATGGCGCTGGACATCGAGATCGCCACCTACCGCAAGCTGCTGGAGGGCGAGGAGAGCAGGTAGGCGCTGCACCAGGGTGGGCAGTGGGGCAAGGCCTAGGCACATGCTCACCACCCTGTCTGTGCCCCAGGATCACTGTGCCCATGCAGCTGATGCCCTCCTTCACCATGAAAAGTTCAGGTGAGTCCATGCCCTCAGTGCTGTGGGAGGGACGGGGGGAGGGCACAGTCTTGTGTGCCTTGTCCCCGGGCATCTCTGCCCCCTGTGCACCCAGGACCTTGCATGCCTGAGGCCTGGAGGGCAAAGGGAGAGGAAGGACTTGGAGACCTCCCTGATGTCCCCTCTGCCCACCAGTGCCAGAGCCAGAGCCGGTGCCAGTGGTGGAGACACACACCAGAAAAATGGTTCTGATCAAAACGATTGAGACCCGGGATGGAGAGGTGAATGCCCCCCCACCACCCAGCGCAGCCTCCACCTGGGAATGGGCCCAGCCCAACATTGGCTGGACTTGGGGGCAGGTACAGGGTGCAAGAAGGGACACCTGCGTTCTCTCCTGGCCCTGGAAGGAGCCAGGACTCCTGGGTTTCACTCAGGCCTGGGGACGCATGACCTAAGGGCTAGAGCAGGGTCTGCTGGATGCCTGGGCTCCATCCCAACTCTCCTGGGGGCGTTGCTTCCCCCTCAAGCTGCCACATGGGCAGGCCCCAGCCTGGCACAGAGGGATACCGGGTCTGACCCCTTGCTCCTTGGCAGGTGGTGACGGAGTCGCAGAAGGAGCAGAGAGCGGAGTCAGAGAAGTGACCCCAGCACCAGGCTCCGCACAGCCCCCCACTGCAGCCCGCCCCCCACTCCCCCATGCCGCACCGGCCTTACACGACTACTGATACCTCTGAGCCCCGGCACCCCCGCACACCCAACTTCCACCGGCCCATGGTGCTCGGGGACGGGAGAGCAGAGCAATAACCCTGCCTGGGCAGGGGCTGCTGGCAGGGAGGGACCTAGGAGTCCTGCCCTGCCCTGCCCCCACCCAGCTTCCCCTTCCCCTGCCTCCTCTGGGGGGCCTCCACCTTCTTCTGAAGCATCAGGACCTGCCTCACCAACACCACTGGCACTGGGAGGGGGGCAGAGCCCGGCACTGGTGGAGGCTGACACCAGGATCCAGGACCAGCTGTCGCCTGCAGGGCTGTGTCCTGGGCCTGGCGCTGCCTGGGTCCCCCGTGGAGGCGGGTGCCGGCGCTGCTGCTGTTCAAGTTTGGTGCCCATAGCGAGTGCTTCCTGCCCAGAGCCAGGGTCCCACCCGGCCCGAAGGGCTGATACCAAAGCTGCCCCATTTTTATACTGTGGCCCATCTCCCTGCTTCCAGCATGGACTTGCCCCAGCACCCATCTCTGCCTCCTGCAGCCAGGCCCAGCTGCAAAGCTGTGCCCCAGGCCCAGGGTTCACCTAGGCCAGAGGGCTCGGGGTGGTGGCATCCATCTGGCACGAGTCTGGGCCATTCCCTGCCCCTGGCTCTTTTCTCTGCAGCTCCCCCTGTTCTGTGCTCTGCTCCCCCTCTGTTACACTCGGTGCCTCTGCCTCAGCATCCCCTCCCTCTGCCTCGGTCCGCTCTGGACCAAACCAGGGGGATGTGACTGGGGCCACTCGGCCAGCTGCACCCCTTCCCCTCCAGCCCTGGGGGACCCCCCCCACACCTGCTGCAGGAGTTGCTGTGGTGCTCCTGGGTCTTCCCCGACCTGCCTGAACAGCGACGGACCCCCGCTGTGTATCCGCTTGTCCAGCCAATAAAAAGCCTAGTGAGGAGCTCTGCTCTGCTGTGTCCCCCTTGCGGCACCCGGGCTGGGGGGGGAGGCAAGGCGGCGACCCCAGTGTTACCACAGTCCTGGGGACACTGGGGCTGCAGCCCATGGTGCTCGGGGCATCCTGTGAGCCGGGGCGTGGAAGCAACCTGCCATTCCAACTTACAGTTTAATTATAGTTTAATTATGGTTTACTTAATGACCGCCCTCCCCTCTGTGCTCTGGGCCAGTGGGGCCAAGTGCAACAGACTGGGCCATGTGACTGGACGGTGCCCTGGCAGCGGGGGGGGGGGGGGCTGAGGTCCCCTGGCAGCGGGGGTCTCACCCAGCCCTGGGGGGTCTGGGCAGGGCTGGGGTCTTTGTTTCTGTCTGGGGGAGGTGAGCTGGGCTGGGCAGGATGGGGCTTGTACAGCACCTGGAACGGAGCAGGGGGGAGACGGGATCCCAGCCGCGAGGCGGGTAGGGGGCAGCCCAGTGCCTGTCGCTGTGTTGGGCTGGGGGGTCTGCCGGTTCAACCCCGCCTTTGCCAGAATTAGTTAGCTGTCCCCATGAGCCCCCCTCCTTCCCTCCACCGCTGGATTTCTGCCTGTCTCTTTCCCCTGGAAGGAGCGGACCTACTTTATAGCCGAGTAAACTGAGCCCCCCCGCCCATTGGATTTCTGCCTCTCTTGCTCCCCCGAAGGGAGAGAGCTTATTTTATAGCCGGGTAAACTGAGGCCCACCCCGCTCCCCCGGCCCGTTGGATTTCTGCCTCTGTCCCTGCCCTGGAAGAAAGGGACCCATTTTATAGCTGGGTAAACTGAGGCACGGAGCGACTCTGACCCACGGTGCGCGCCCCCAGTCTCTTCCTTCCCCCCCCCCCCGGGGTCGGGGCTAGACCGTAATGACGTCACCGACACGCCGGGTGCCCCCGCCCTCCATGCGCTAAGTGAAATCTCGCGAGATCACCCCTCCCCCGGAGGGAAACCCACGAATCCCCCCCCTTCGCCCCGTTCTTCGCTCCCTATTGGCTCGCTCTGCGCC